TGACATAATGGGAAACTCACAGAGAAACTCGCGGATTCTTCAACTGACCGCTGCAGCACATCTGCACCAGGGTAAACCTCCGCCTACCCCACTCCTGCTTTACAGGTGAAAATAGAGCAAAAGGACTGCTGACTAAGTAATTAATTACTTTTGAAAATAAGTAATCAGTAAAGTAACGGGATTACTTTTTGGGGGAAGTAATCAGTAATTAGTTACTGATTACTTTTTTCAAGTAACTTGACCAACACTGGTCCACATGCATGTAAATGCTAAACAAACAGTTTATTATAAGCTTACTCATTAATTCAAAAAGCTGCTGTTTTCTATGTAAGGAGTGCATGAATGTCAAACATTCTGACACTCATTTACACTGCAATGGATGCATCAAGGGCAACTCGGGTTCCAGTATAGTTCCCAAGGGTATGCAACCGGGAGGAGTCGTGGAGGAGGCATGTGTTAGGTTAAAAGCTGTGTGTGTGTGTGTGTGTGTGTGTGTGTGTGTGTGTGTGTGTGTGTGAATAAGGCTTGTAGTAAGACAGCACTTTGTGTATTTAGATGAGGTGCTATATAAAAGTGCTATTTCAGTACCAGTGCATGTATCATTTTATTAAACCCCTTAAATTAAAGCTTTAATTCTATACTTCAATATTATTCTGATAATTTGAATAATTACATTTTATAAAAATATTATAAAATTTATATTGTAGTAATATAGAAATAAAATTGAAATATTTACATATTAAAATATTGAAAATATTAAATATTTATTACCATTATTACTACTACTATTGGAGCGGCATAGGAGGGTTGTTTTTTAATTGTTAAATGAACACATTTCATTTTTGAGATACTGTATGTCTGAGAAGTTAACTTAAAAGGGACACAATCAGTGCATCTGTGGCACACATATTTCTTGAGCATCCTCTCTAGAGCCCAGATCAGATCCGACAAAAAGGAGCATGCAATCCACATGAAATGCACGCAAATACGAAAGCTGCATTTCACAGTGGAATCTGGGTGACTGTGATTTGAACATTATGGTTTGTTAAATGATAGTTTAACTGTCAAAATTTAATCCTATAAAAGTTGCTTCATAAAGTGCTACTTGGTTAAACAATGAAGTTTGATTTGGAAAAGTCCCAGCTCCTTTTGAATGCATTGACGTTTGTTTCCTACCGTTGTTTCCCAGGTCATCCATTGCAGTGGATACCTGAAAGTGCGTCAGTACATGGTGGACATGGTGCTCTATGAATCATGCTATCAGACTATGGGCCTGGTAGCAGTTGGACACTCCCTGCCTCCCAGTGGTATCACTGAGATCAAACTCCATAGTAACATGTTCATGTTCAGAGCCAGCCTGGACTTCAAGCTCATATTTTTGGACATGAGGTAGGAGACATGTTGAGAAGGTGGGTAGATAAAGGAAAACCATGACATTATGATATTCTGTCACCTGTTAAAACTCATCGTCACAATAAATGAGCAACGTAAAGATAAATCTAGTAATAAGGATTAACGCAGGTATAATACATTAAGCAATTTAAACGATATTCACTTTAAAAAAATATTGGTATATAAGCTTAACAAAAAGCTATTTTAAAACATTTTAGGGCTGTTAAATGAACATTATGATTCACTTCCAAATATGAATGTTCAAATCAGCCCTGACCTGTTATTCTTTCCTGGGGAGTCAGGGTGGCAGAGCTGACAGGCTACGAGCCTCAGGACCTGATAGATAAGACTCTTTACCACCACGTTCATGCCTGTGACATTTTCCATCTACGATACGCTCATCATTTATGTAAGTTTAAATATTTTCAGTGGTATTTATGGGGGAGGATGGAGTGACTTATGTGTGAACATTTGTGAGGAGTTTAAAACATTGTCTTTGATTTGTATTTTGCATTTATAGCTTGATTAATGTTGTGTGTATTTGCCTTGAGGATGAAAAGTAGTTCAATCTGGTACAATGTTGTTGTGCATGGTTACTGACAAATAAATAATAATTTTAGATGCTAACTAAATTAAAAGAACTAACCTAAAGATAATTACATAGGGGGATTTGACCAGTTTATCTCTGTGTTTACTACAGTGCTGGTGAAGGGTCAGGTCACCACCAAGTATTACCGCTTGCTATCAAAGCATGGAGGTTGGGTATGGGTGCAGAGTTACGCCACCATTGTCCACAACAGCCGTTCATCCAGACCTCACTGTATTGTCAGTGTGAACTACGTCCTCACGTGAGTCAGCAGCCTCCTTCTAAAATGTAAAACCTGCATGAAACAATGCAGACTATATACCTGTTTTATTGTACACAGTGACATTGAAAGCAAGGAACTACAGTTATCTGAAGATCAGAGTCAAGTCACTAAGTGTGGTGTAAGTCTCACTTCCTCTCAGGACCACAGCAGACAATTCAGAACCAAAGCAGTCAAGATGAAGACCAAACTAAGAGAAGCTCCCTATCTTGAGGTAGGATTTCCACGTGACCTAGAAATTATTAAGATTCCAGAGAAATATAGAAATAAATTAAATATTTCCCACCTTTCTTATAGTAAAAAATAATATATCAGTTTCATTACAGAAATATTAATATTGCAAACTACAAAACTAGGGAAACTGTGTTTGTGTGAGCCACCATACCAACTTTACTTTTAAATCACTTTAAAACAACCAGAAAGGACCAAAGTGGTCTACAGCAGAATAAATATAAGACACAGTAAAAAACAAACAAACAATAACAACACATATCTGCTCATACAAGCGTAAAAATAGAACATCCATTCATCTTCTTTCACTTATCGGGTGGCAGGGGCAGCAGCTTAAACAGAGAAGCTCAGACCTCCGTCTCCCTGGCCACCTCCTGCAGCTTGCCCGGGATAAAACCAAGGTATTCCCAGGCCAGCCAAGAGATATAATCGCTCCAGCATGTCCTGGGACATGCTGCCCGGCCTCCTCTCAGTGGGACTCACCCAAGAGGGGGCCAGGAGATATCCTTGTCAGATGCCCGAACCACCTTAACTGGCTCCTTTCAATGTGGAGGAGCAGCAGCTCTATTCTGAGCCCCTGCCAGATGGCCGAACTCCTCAGGGCCACCCACCCATTGGAGAAGGCCTTTCCGCCGCTTCTATCCACGAACTCGTTCTTTCGGTCACTTCCTACAGCTTGTGACCATAGGTGAGGGTCGAGATGTAAATCGACCGGTAAATTGAGAGCTTCGCTTTTACACTCAGCTCTCTTCACCACAATGGACCGGTACAGCATCTGCCTAATAAGAGAAGACCAGGCCTCCCTCTCCCCGGCCACCTCCTCCAGCATGTCTGGGGGAACACCAAGGCATTCCCAGGCCAGCCGAGAGATATAATCTCTCCAAAGTGGCCTGGGTCTGCCCCGGGGCCTCCTCCTGGTGGGACATGCCCAGAACAACTCAGCCAGGAGGTGCCCAGGAGGCATCCTTGTCAGATGCCTGAACCACCTCAACTGGCTCCTTGCGATGTGGAGGGGCAGCGGCTTTACTCTGAGCCCCTCCCGGATGGCCGAACTCCTCACCCTATCCTATCTGTAAGGGAGAGGCCAGCCACCCTTCAGAGGAAGCCCATTTCTGCTGCTTGTATCCGTGATCTCGTTCTTTCAGTCACTACCCACAGCTCGTGGCCACAGATGAGGGAAGGGTTGTAGGTCAACTGGTAAATTGAGAGCTTCATTTTTACACTCAGCTCTCTCTTCACCACGATGGACCGATATAGCCACATCAGTGCAGTTGCAGCTCCAATCCATCTGTCAATCTCCTGCTCCCCGCTCCCATCCATCCATCCATCCATCCATCCATCCATCCATCCATCCATCCATCCATCTTCTTCCACTTATCCAGGGCTGAAATGTGGGAGCAGCAGCCTAAGAAGAGAAGACCCTGACATACTTAAACTTCTCCAATTGGGGCAGGAACTCCTCCCTGACCCATCCTTTTCTGACTGAAGACGTTAGCCTCAGATTTGGAGGTGCTGATTCTCATTCCCACGGCTTCACAGTCAGCTTCCACCTGTTCCAGTGTGAGTTGGAGGCCATCACCTGATGAAGCAACAGAACCACATCATCTGCGAAAAGCAGAGATGAGATTCTGAGACCACCCAAATGAAAACCTTCCGCCACTTGGCTACGTCTAGAAATTCTGTCCATAAAAAGTGCGAACATAATCTGTGACAAAGGGCAGGCCTGGCTGAGTACATCGTCTAAGTTGGTCCGACTTAATGCCAGCTATGTGGACCAAGCTCTTGCAACAGTTGTTGGGCCAGACACCCCATACTCCCGCATTTCCCATAGGACACTCTGAGGGACATGGTCAAATGAGTTCTCCAAGTCCACAAAACACATGTATACTGTTTGGACAAACTCCCATGCACCCTCAGATATCCTTGAGAGGGCAAAGAGCTGGTCCAGTGTTCCATGACCAGGACAAAAACCGCATTGTTACTCCTGTGTCTGAGATTTGACTAAGAGATGGACTCTCTTTTCCAGCACCCTGGCAAAGACTTTCACAGGGAGGGTTAGGATTGTGATTCCCCTATAGTTGAAACACATCCTCGGGTCCCCCTTCTCAAAGATGGGAACCACCACCCCAGTCTGCCAATCTCCTCTGTGAATCGCTACCTTGATTTGGTGGAGGGGTTTGTGAGTACCAGGAATCCCGGCGGCTATGTTGTTGGGGGGCTTTTGCCCCCAGTACGGTCTCCCATGGCAAATTGGTCCTGGGTGAAGGACCAGATAAAGAACTATTCAAAACACTCTGAGTATAAGATCAAGGGAACAGCTCACCCTGCCAGCGATATGGTTACTGGTGCCCTGCCCTGGAGCCAGGCCCGTGGAGGGTGCCCGAGGTTAAGTGTCTAGTGGCTGGCCCTTAATCCATGAGGCTTGGCTGGGCACAGCCCGAAAAGGAACATGGGCCCATCCTCCTGTTGGCCCACCATGCACAGGAGATGCCGTAGCTACCAAGACTAGCAGTTCCAACATGGAATGTCCCCTCTTGCAGGGAGGGAGCCAGAGTCAGTGTGTGAAGTTGAGAGGTAGCAACTACACTCGACAAAAATATAAACGCAACGCCTTTGTTACTGCTCCCATTCCCCATGGGATGGACGTAGAGACCTAAAATTC